ATCAAAAGCTACCTCTGAATAAATATCAAAGACAACTAACCTATTCAGAAACAATACCGTCATCACCATAGTGTCTCCACAATCCACCCGAAATGATGGAAAGATTTTGATATTACTCAGCTTCTTAGCAACTGTCTCTTGGGACTTTAATACGTTGCAGAACATCAAACAGGTTTCCTCCACTAGCGTGTACCTGTTAAATACATATTGAATAGGGCCTCTGTCCTGTTCAAGAAAGTTACTATCAAAACAGCTCTTCTGTGAAATGAAACTCACACCGGCAAATAGTAAACAAAATCTCTGCAGTAATCAGTTTAATATCCTTTATGCTTTTATTTAGTGCATGTAAAATTCCTAATTTACTTAGATCATAAAGATCTAGTATTTTTAAGATAAAGATAAAACAACTAACATCTTTTGAGGATGCATGCAGACCAAACAGACATTCTAACCCGAATAGCAGCCAACACTTAGCTCAATCTCCTGCTTCCCCAAGACAGATGTCACACAAATTTCTGTGTACAATAGGTAAAACTGTAACATCATAGCAATGGAATTTTAATATACGTAAGAACTGTACTTCGGGATTCCATCATCGCCATGTCGAACTGTGCTACTCCGGATGCTCAAGAAAGAGGCTATTTTCGCCACTCACCAATTTCAGTCATTATTTGAAACACGATCCCACAGCTTCTACCATCTGCCCTGGTAGTACTTTCCGGGCACTGTTTGTGTAAAATACTTGCACATCTCCTTTAAACTTTCCCCCTCACCTTAAACCTATGTCCCCCAGTATTTGACATTTCCACCCTGGGAAAAAGACTCTGATTATCCACTCCATCCATGCCTTTCATTGTTCTGTCTACTTCTGTAATGTTGCTCAATGCTCTAGCTAAAACCACCCAAGTTTGTCCAACCTCTCCTTATAGACAATGTACTCCAATCCAGGCAGCATCCTGGTAAACCTCTTTTGCACCCTCTCCAAAGCCTCCACATCCTTCCTATAGTGTGGCAACCAGAACTGCACACAATATTCCAAATCTGGCCTAACTAAAGTTTTATACAATTGCAACATCACTTGCTTAATTTTATACTCAATGCCCTGACCATTGAAGGCATGCATACTGTACGCCTTCTTTACAATCTTATCCACTTTTGTGCCACTTTCAGGGAGTTATGGACTTGCACCACAAGATTCCTCTGTATAGCAACGCTCCTAAGGATTCTGCCATTAACTTTGTATATCTTCCTCTTGCTGTGGTTGATTGGCTTGCCAAGCTGGTTTGTTGTTCCGCAGACGTTTGTTGGTGGTTACAAAAAGACACAACCAATACTCACTCATCTCTATCCACATGGATAAGGAGAACCACCAATTCGACTGGGACAACACCAAGATCCTGGGACAAGCAAAGCAGAGACAGGCATGGGAATTCCTAGAAGCCTGGTACTCCACGAAGAACTCGACCCCATATACACACCACTACGAAGGAAACCTGGAAGTGAGGTAATCCAGCTCAACGGACACCAGAGTTTAAAAACCAGGCGGGAAAACACAATGGTGCTTCATCAGACGCTGCACTGATGATGTTACCCAGCAGGGTAATGAAACGTCTACGGAACAATGAACTAGCTCGGTGAGCCAACCAACCACAACCCGAGCTACATATCTACTCCAAAATCTTCCTCTTGCATTTGACATGCCAAAATGCGTCATAGCACAGTTAAACTCCATCTGCTATTTCTTTGCTTTACTTTCCAACTGATCTATATCCTGCTGTATCCACTGATGACCGTCCTCACTATCCACAATTCCACCAATTTTGCTGTCATCTGCAAACTTTCTAATTAGACCAACTACATTTTCATCCAATTCATGTATATTACAAACAACAGAGGTCCCAGCACTAATAATTGTAGAACACCACTGGTCACAGATCTTCAATCAGAAAAACACCCCTCCACAACTACCCTCTGTCTTCGATGACCAAGTCAATTTTGTATCTAAATTACCAACTCACCATGGAACCCATGTGACTTAATCTTCTGGACCAGCCTATCATGAGGGACCTTGTCAAATTCTTTAGTAAAGTCCATGGAGACAACATCCATTTTTCCTACCCTCATCGGTCATCTTCATCACTTCCTCAAAAAACTCAAAACTCAAAGATCAGCCCTCCAAGATGAACTCGCATAGTGCATCTGTGACATTCTTCTTCATCGGTAATGTAACTCCCCCCACCTATTTTATATTCTTCTCTATCAGGCCTGAAACATCCAAACCTTGGAATGTTGAACTTCCACTTCAGACCGTTAGTCCCACTATATTCATTAACCTGGCACTGCCTGTTCTTCCTATTAGACTTAATTGACTAACCTCTACCTTTTCCTCAATCACTCCACATGATGACCTACTGCTCTGGTTCCCATTTTCCTGTCACACTAGTTTAAACTTTCTCCAGTAGCACTAGCAAACTTCCCTTCAAATATATTGGTGCTCCTCCAGTTTAGTTACAATCTGTCTTCTTGTACACATTTCTCCTGTCTGGAAGAGATCCCAATGATCTTGATATCCAAGTCCCTCCCTCCTACACCAGTTCTTTAGCCATGCTAAACTGTACTGTCTTCCTATTTCTGCCCTCACTAGCATGTGACAAGGAGTAATCCCAAGATTACAACCCTAGAGATCCAGCTTTTCAACTTTCTTCTTACCTCCCTAAATTCTTTTGCAGGACCTTATCTCTCTTTCTGCACATGTCATTAGTTCCAATATGGACCATGACCTTTGGCTGCTCACCCTCCCTCTTCAGATTATCCCATGCACGCTCAGAGACTTCCTTGACCTAGGCAGCAGGGAAGCAACACACCATCCTGGAGTCTCACTCGAACACAAAAATGCCTGTGTCCCTGATTAAAATGTCGCCTATCACTACTGCTCTCCTACATTTTGACCCTTCCTGCTATAACACAATACCACTGACCTGGCTGCTGCTATTGCTATTCTCTGATAGGCCATCTCTCCCAACAATATCCAAAACGGTATACCTATTTGAGAGGGGACTCCTGCACCGCCTGCCTATCTCTCCTGACAGTCACCAGTCTATATGGCCAAACCTTTGGCATGATCACATCCATGAAATTCCTATCTATAAAACTTTCTACCTCCTGTATGCTCCTCAGTAAGTCCAACTGCCACTCCAACCAATCCATGCGGTCTCACAGGAGCTGCAGATGGACTCATTTCCTGCAAACTTCGTTGTCAGGGACATTTGACTTCTCCCTGATCTCCCACATCTCACAGGAATAGTATACCATTCCGCTATTACTATTCTTCTAGTAACCATTGGATTAAAAGAAACGATCTTACCTTGCTGTACCTTAATACAACTTGCCCGCCACAGTGAAGCCTGATACTCATCAAAGCCTATACTTCTCCTGGAATCCTCCTCGATCACTTCTCACTACCACCCTCTGTTGGATGCCCTTTCTTCTGTTGAGCACCAGGTTCTTCTTGATTCCCTTCTAAGTTCTATTGAGCGAGCTGATTTCTCCTTGAATTCTCCTCAGTCACTTCTCACTAACACCCTCTGAAGAACCAGGTAAATCAGTATCTGATATTATTAGAAACTGAAGTTTTTGTAAGTATCTTAAAGCTTACTGGCAGTGCTAAAACATATTTTGAGCTACAGGCTGCATTCATTATAACTTAATTATGCAGGAAATATTAGTTAACTATACCCAATGTTAGAGATGGCAGGGCTGATGATGTGCCGCAATTGCAGAATATGGGAACCCCTGGGTGCCCGTGCGATCCAGGCCAAACACTTCTGCAGTGAGTGTTTGCTGCTGCAGGAACTTTAACACACAATTATTGAGTTGGAGTCCGAACTGCAGGTACCATCACACATCGTATTAGGGGAAAGGTCCTTGGCACTTTATTCCAGGAAGTAGTCACACCTCTATGATAGGGTCTTCTAATTTGGTTAGTGTTTAGGGACAGGATTGTGTGGCTGCAATTGTTTATTTTGGGCTTATTTTGCCTGGAGTGTAGATGAGTAAGGAATGATCTGTTTGAGGCTTTTATAAGCTCCTGAATGGTCTTGACAAGGTGGATGTAGAAAGCTTGTTCCACCTTGTAGGTGAGTCTAGAACTAGAGACACTGTTTTAAATTAGGGGTTGCTCTTTTCGGACAAAGATGAGGGGATTTTTTTTTCCTCTAGGAGGGTTATATGATTTTGGGACTGGTGACCTCAGAAGGCAGTGGAGGCAGGGTTATTGAATATTTTTAAGACAAAAGGGGTGGTATGGTGGCTCAGTGGTTAGCACTGCTGCTTCATAGTGCCAGGGACCCAGGTTCAATCCCAACTTTGGGCAACTGTCTGTGTGGAGTTTGCACATTCTCCCTGTGTCTGCGTGGGTTTCTGCTGGGCGCTCCGGTTTCCTCCCCCAGTCCAAAGATGAGCAGGCGAGGTGGATTGGCTAAATTGCCCATAGTGTCTAGAGGTGTGTAAGTTAGGTAGATTAGCCATGGTAAATGTAGGGGAATGGGACTGGGTGGGATGCTCTTTGGAGCGTCAGTGTGGACTTGTTGGGCTAAATGGCCTGTTTCCACACTGTAGGGATTTTATATTATGAAAACTGTCACTGAAGTGATGTTACATTTAACTGTGTTTCAGAAGAATTATATCACAGAAGCAATGGGGAAAATGTGCCACCAGAGGCAGCGTTTCCAACACATATTCAAATTCTTGTTATTACCAATACCTTAGTAGGAAATTATTTGAATTAACTCTAAGCTTTGTGTTGTTTTAACAAATGAGTCTTTTTAAGAGCTAGATATGTTAATGAGCCAAGACAGGAATGAAACCACATGACGATCTTTTATCTGTAGCTTTGCATCCTAGAAACAGAATGCACAGCATGATTTCTTTCTTTCTCTTTTTGTGAAAAATAAATCACATCGTGGCGCTATTGTAAAAGAAATGCACATCCATCACACCAGTGGAAAACATTTAATTTAATCAACTTGTAGTTATTTTAATCAATCTGTTCAAATATGTTTTGAAACATCTTCAGAGTAGGTGTGACTTAAACCTTCTGGCCCAGAGGTAGGGACTCTATCACTGTGCCACATGAGCCCTGTAAACACCTTATAACATAAAGACCATTCAGGATCTTATGAACTTCAATCAGGTCACTCCTGACTCATCTATACTCCAGTTAAAATACACAATTGCAGACACACACTCCTGTCCCTTCACATAAAAACTAAAAATCGATTTTCTAAATGATCAGTGTTAAATTAACAGATCTAGGGGTTAATTTAAAATTATATAAAGAAGGAAAATAATATTAAAATGTTTCTTAATTTTCATTCAATTAAAATCAAGGACAAAATCCATTTGATTCTAGTTTAAAAACAGTAGAGGTATGATAACAGAATTACCAAGTAGCACCTAGAATGATTTAGAGAAGTAAAGTTGCAGGGAAATTAGAAGTGCAAAAACTATAGAGTGGTGATAATGCAGGACTTCAATTATGAACTCAGATAATAAGCCAAAGGGACATATAGAGGGCAGGAGCTTCTGGCATGTTCATGAAGAGTTGCTTGATGAATGTTTTCAGTTCAACAAGGATGCAGGATATGTTCTGAGGAATTAGATAGAACAAGTGAATCAATTTCAATGTCAGAATATTTAAGGAACTGTGGTTACACTGTTACATGGTTTGCATTATCCATTGGAAAGGACCATGGGTAATTGAAAGTAAACATGTTCAACTGGGGAATAATCAATTTAAGTGGAGGATAGATTTGTTCCCGATAAAGTGGAAGCAAACATTGACAGACAGAAGTGAAACAGAGCAAATTATTGTCCTGAAAGATAAGATAGTTCATCAATGCTTGGGACAAATTCCCGCAAAGTGGTAAGGATAAATCCAGATAACTACAGACTGGTCACAGTAGTGGGAGAGCTTTTAGAAATGATTAAGGCAGCATAAAGCTGGTTTGGTCCCAGCTGGAATATTGTTTCCAGTTATGGTCACCACATTTTAGGAGACACACTCATCACACTACCCTACATCAGGAACACATCAGAACTCACCACATCAACCCTGTGACAAGTGCTCACCCGAACTAAAGACCCACTCCCCGCCATGGACAGGACCAATGTCATCTACAAGATCCCCTGCAGAGACTGCAAGAAACACTACATCGGACAAACAGGAAGGAAACTAACAACAAGAGTACATGAACACCAACTGGCGGCAAAAAGACACGACCAATACTCACTCATCTCAATCCACATGGACAAGGAGAACCACGACTTCGACTGGGACAACACCAAGATCCTGGGACAGGCTAGGCAGAGGCAAGCACGGGAATTCCTGGAAGCATGGCACTCCACGAAGATAAACACATTGAACTCGACCCCATATACATTCCACAACGGAGGAAACCCACTTGACAGGTGCAGGAGAATTTACCAAAATGTTTCCAGGAAGGGGAGATTTCAGTTACAGATACAAGTGTTGGTTAGATAGTCTGGGATTGTTAATATTGGAACAAAGATTGAGGGAAGATACGATAGAGGTATACAAAATTGTAACAAAAACAGAAGTTGCTGAAAAGTTCAGCAGGTCTGGCAGCATCTGTGAAGAAAAAATCAGAGTTAACGTTTCAGATCTGGTGACCTTTCCCTTTTCCAACAACTTCTGTTTTTGTTCCTGATTTACAGCATCCGCAGTTCTTTCGGTTCTTGTATACAAGATTGTGATAGGTTCAAATAATGTGGACAAGGGAAAAAAAAAGTTTCTCTCAGTCGAAGGAGACAGAGATTTAATCTTTTAGATAAAAAGATACAGGAGCAACAAGAAAGTTTTTTTTAATAAAATGAGTTGAAATGATCTAGAACTTGCTGCCCATGAAAATTGTGGAACCACAAACCAGTGAGAAATTGGTAATGGGTCCTTGAGGAAACTAGGCTTGTAGGAACACAGGGACCAAGGCCGAATGATCTCCTTCTGTGCCAAAGATGAAGAATCACTCCATGGATCTAAAAGTAACGCCAAACCATTTTTGATAAGATTCCAGATATTAGAGATCTCACTAATGTTGAAGCCTATGGAACAAAAGGGTCTGAGGCAGCATGGACGCAAAGTTCAAACTGGAGCAGAACATGTAGCAACTGAAACCGGACTATTTGTTGTTGAGGTTGGTTGGCTCGCCGAGCTGGTTTGTTGTTTCGCATACGTTTCGTTACCGTGCTTGGTAACATCCTCAGTGCAGCCTCTCATGAAGCGTTGGTGTGTTTTCCCACCTGGTTTTTAAACTCTAGGGTCCATTGCGATGGATTGCCTCACTTCTGGGTTTCCTCCGTTGTGGAATGTATATGGGGTCGAGTTCAATGTGTTTATCTTCGTGGAGTGCCATACTTCCAGGAATTCCCATGCTTGTCTCTGCCTAGCCTGTCCCAGGATCTTGGTGTTGTCCCAGTCGAAGTCGTGGTTCTCCTTGTCCATGCGGATTGAGATGAGTGAGTATTGGTCGTGTCTTTTAGCACCCAGTTGGTGTTCATGTACTCTTGTTGTTAGTTTCCTTCGTGTTTGTCTGCTGTAGTGTTTCTCTCAGTCTCTGCAGGGGATCTTGTGGATGACATTGGTCCTGTCCATGGCGGGGAGTGGGTCTTTAGTTCAGGTGAGCACTTGTCGTAGGATTGATGTGGGCTTGTGTGCCACTCTGATGCCTAACAGTCGTAAGAATCTTGTGGTGAGTTCTGACGTGTTCCTGATGTAGGGTAGTGTGATGAGTGTGTCGGAGCGTGTAGAATCTTTCTGATGCTGTTCCTGTAGGCATCTCCTGACCCAGTTACTGGGTCATGGACAGGACCAATGTCATCTACAAGATCCCCTGCAGAGACTGCGAGAAACACTACATCGGACAAACAGGAAGGAAACTAACAACAAGAGTACATGAACACGAACTGGCTACAAAAAGACAGACCAATACTCACTCATCTCAATCCACATGGACAAGGAGAACGATGACTTTGACTGGGACAACACCAAGATCATGGGACAGGCTAGGCAGAGACAAGCACGAGAATTCATGGAAGCATGGCACTCCACGAAGCATGCTATTAATAAACACATTGAACTCGACCCGATATACATTCCACCACGAAGGAAAACCGGAAGTGAGGCAATCCATCGCAACGGACCCCAGAGTTTAAAAACCAGGCGGG